TGTCCCCCCCGCAGCCCCCCTGCCGCACCGCGATCCCCCCAGGATCCTGCGCATTCCTCATGCACAGGGACAGCAGCCACGGGCAGCTCCCACGGGCCCTGCTGCCCCTCGCGCTGCCCCGGTCACGGGGCCTTCCCCCCGAGCCCACGGCACCGAGGGGTGCCATGGTGTGCCCGGGCGGCCGCGCGCAGGAGCCTGTCGCCTGTCCCCGCTCTGGGCTGCACCTCTTTGGCTTCGGTTACAGACCAGAGAGGCCCTTCAGCAGCAGAAATGCAGAAACACCTGCCGGTGCAGGAGCAACTGGATTCTTTTCTAAGAGACAAAACAAGATGCTTCAGAAACGCAGCTTTCTGCCGCTCCAGCCTCCTCCTCGGCGCACACTGTCAATCTGAGCTCATCTTAATTACACACCAGGCAGCCCACAAACAGATGCCTTCCCTGCACGAGCGACGAACCCGGCCCAGCGCTGCGGAGCGGGGCACGGGAGGCTGGGCACGAGGGGCCCGTTGTCCCGAGCCCCATGTGTCTCCCTCGGCCTCAGCCCACGGCTGCTCCGGCAGCACCGGAGCACGTGGGACACGGGGACGCGCGCGGGAAGCCCGAGGCTGCCAGCCCGCCCGTGACAGGGGCCCGACCAGTTGCTCCGAGGGGATTTAATCGTTGCTGGCACCGCTTCCAGCTCCAATGCTATCACCTGCCAGCCAAATTCCCCGCTTTCCCGCCTGGCGCAGCGGTTCCGTTGGAGCCGAAGGGCAGCGGTCCCGCTCCTCTCAGGAGGGGAGCTCCTTGCAGCACCAACCCGGGCTGCTGAGTCACCGCGAGGAGCCGGGTCCTTAATTGCTGCTCCCAGCCAGACAACTGGAGCTTCCTAATTAGCTCCCCGCGAGGTAGTGCCCAGCACACGTGTCCTCGGGGCTGGCTGCTTCCTCTCCGTGGCCACGTGCCATTTCCTAGCAGCGCTAAGGCAAACCCGGCCGTGCCTCCCGAGGAAGCGAGGGCATTCCCTGGCACGGCAGCACCCCGGCTACCCACGCGCCGTCTCCAAGGCCTCCGTGCTAGGAACGCCTGGCAGCAGAGGAGAGAAATCCGATCTCGGAAGCAGCCTGCGGCGTAAACACCAAGGCTGGGTCAAGAAGCTGGGGCTGCCCTGCCCGCCTCCCGCTCCGCGGCGAATACTCACATCGATGATCAGGTACTCGACGGGCAGCGGGCGAGCCAGCTGCGTGATCTCGTTGCCAAACTTGTCTATGTCCTGAAAGGAGAAGAGTTTCTTATTATTCCTCCATGCAGAAGTGGCTTGAAGCCTACGGGACTGGAGACCCCCACGCAGGAGCTCGGGAATGCTCAACCTTGGAGGCGCAGGAAAGAGGCTGCTCACATGGGGCTGCTTTGCTGGTTCTGATACAGAGCTGCCTGATGTCACCAGGAGTCCCTGCCTTCGTTACCCAGCCCCATTTCCTTGGGAGCCAAGGGAATTTTTATCAGCATGAAGTGTCTCTATGCATCAGTCGCCGCCACCGCAGGGACGGAGGGCGGTATCCGAGGTGCAGGTGCTGCCCAAAACGCAGCCCCGCGCGCTAATAAAAGCGGGTCCTGCTCCGCAGCTGCTTTCCCAACGCAGGAAACCCAACTGCCACCCTGGCCACGAGTGTCCAGCCCGGCCGCTCGCTCCTGCCGCGGCGGGGAGGCCCGGTGCTGCTCACACACATACCTGAGAAGGCAGCGCATCGCACAGCGGCAACGTGTTGTGCTTTGCCAGACGAATCCAACACAAAGTTTAATTATGGAGAAAAGCGGCCAGCATATGTTCATTAATCATAGAGTGACAATTAGACTTGATTTATGTCAAACATGCCGAGTTCAAACACAGCTTCAGAAATAAATTCATGAGAACTGACACTTTTCATTAAAGATTCCGTACGAGGGGGTTGTATTTTCTACCTAAATCATCACTTAACCTGTTATAAATCATTCATTGAGCCACATATAAATTATGCGCCCATAATTCCCGATCGGAGACCCCGCACACAAGTTCACGCTCCCCGAGCCCTCCGCAGCCCCGGGGCGGCTGCCCCAACCCGCTCTGCTCTCCGGGCCGCCCTCCCGCGGCTCTCCGGCATTCCCGGGCTGCGGAATGAGCTGCCGTGTCCCGCGGGCGCCGTTTGCCCTGCGCGCTGCGACACGCGGCACCCCCGGCCCCTCCAAACAGCCCCCTTCGTGGCAAATCCACCTTTGAAGCCGCTTTTAAAAGCCGTTCTGATAAGGATCTCTTCTCCTTGAACATGACAGCCTGTTGGCCCCGTGGTTATTTTAGCAACAAGCTGGTGGCTGGTGGCCTTAGATCTCTATAGCTCTGACAGGAGCAGCAGGAGACGCGGAGCCTTTTGCAGAGAGATCACAGGACCCGAAAGCCAACCTGCTTCCAGATCTCGGCGATACCTGGGAGCCGGGAATCAAACCCAATCGGAGCAAATCAGCTTCCCCAACGCAATCCTGCCCCTGCAAGAAAGAACCTGCAACAACTCACACATAATTAGCCCATCTGGAATTCATTTTCAAATCTAATTAAGTTCTAATATGCAGAAACATTTTTCCAGCACCTGTTTGCTTTAATCTCCGCCTCCGGGGATTTCCACGTTAAACGCCTCCTTTTTAATGTCATGCTGCTGAGGCCTTCGAGATAGGCACCGTGCTGCTCTTGGCGCCCTGGAACCCCCATGTCCCCAAGCCAGGGGACGTGTCCCAACCCTGTCCCCTCCCCAGGACCAGCGGGCCCTGGCCTCCACACCAGCCCCTGTGCACCACTTCATTAGGCAGCTACATTTTAAAGGCCTTAAAGGTCTGGGAGAAGGGCTAGGAGAAAGGAGTCTTCCTTGGGAATTTGGCAGCACCTCTGCGCACCGTGCGTTCCTCCTGCAGCTCCGGAGCCCACGGCCCCGCTTGCTTCAAGGGGAGGACTGTGAGGGGCTAATGGAGCCCAAGGACCCGGCGCCTGGTCAAGGATCAAGCAAGGGAGCCTGGAGGGTCGGGGCAATGAATCACCCCGGGCACTGCAGCGCAGCGGCGGCTGCTCCCAGGGGAGCCCTCGCCGCCTCCGTTGGGAGGCTGGAGCGGGAAGGCACCGGGAAAGCAGGGAAGGCGCCGGGAGCACCTGCACACAGCGGGCTGGCCACGCAGCACCTCTCCCTGCCCGCTCCGTGGAGCGAAGCGGCTTTCCCGAGAGCAGCAGCAGGTCAGCGGGAGCGGAGCCCCATCTCCGGAGCCTCCTCGCGAGCTGACCGAGAGCCCCTTCCCGGAGCAGCTGGGACACTTGAAGCTTTTCCAGGCAAACTCGAGCCCTTGGGAGGAGGCCAGGCGGGGGGAGCCCTTTGCTGCCGTGAACGCTCCCCGCGGCCGGGCCGCGACGCCTTCCCCACGGAGACGATTTCCCTGAGAGCGGCGGGAGCTGCTCGGAGCGGCCGCGGGCCTGGCGGGATGCAGGGCGATACGGGGAGCATCACCCCTGCAGCGCAGCGCGAGCGTTCGGGCCAAGGGCCCTTCACAACGGCGGCCATTCGTCTTGTGCCATCCCAAAGAAACTCGGGGGATAAGGAGGCAGCTGTAAAATGCAGCTCATTGCAAGGAGGACGTCTCCATGATAATGCAAGTTGGAGTAAATATTTGGCAGTGAGAGATAAAGCCAGCTGTAAAAGCTACTGAAATCCAACTACTTGGATGTTCCACAGGGTCTGCAGAATGTGGCAGGCCCTTCCCTGCACTCAGCGGGAAGCGGAGAGACCCTGAGGGTCCCTCTGGAGCGGGGCCCCGCGGTGACAGCCCGTCCTCGAGCTGCACGGCCGGGCAGGGGGAAGCCCTGAATTTCAGCTCTGAACAATCAAAGCCGCAGTCTGCACGTCACACATAGTGAAATCAAAATCAATACGCTCATTTTCTAGAACCAAAGGAGGACACTGCTCAAGGGCAGGGGATGAGGAACACGACGTGCCCGTGTGCACCATGCAGCTGCTTTCTCCCTCACCCAGCTGAGAAACAACCCAACGTGGCCACAACTCCGTTGTCTCCACCGCGAGCGGAGCAGTTACCCCCGCTGGGGTGTTGGCATCTGGACAAGGACGGCTCCTTCACGACCCTCCTCGAGCTGAGCTTGCACGTGCTGCTTGCGCAGCGCCGCAGCTGCGACGCACGCGGCCGAGCAGGAGGCAGAGGGGGAGATTTTCTTCCTTCTGGCCTGTCTTCCCTGGAGAGGCACCTCAGAGCAAAGCAGCCTGCACTCACGATGCCAAAGCCCTCGATCCCCACGCTGGGATGGAATTGGGGCCTTCACAAGGCAGCAAAGCAGCCGCCACCTATAGAAAACTCCCCGCTGCCAACGCACGGGCTGGGGCCAACGCAAAGAGAACGGCAAAGGCACGGAAAAAGCACGAGGCTGGAGGCTCAGGAAAAAACACCTTCCCCTCCGAGACGGGGCAAAACGGCAGCACGAGGAGAGGCCCACGCAGAGCAGCTCCCACGAGGGAGCCCTTCACGCAGGAGCCGTGGCCGGGCCGGCCGCAGCCCGCGAGGCTTCGGCGGAGGGTTTTGCTTTCCATCGGGATGCAGAGTTGTTCTATAAATACCTCCATCCCATACAAACACCAGCTTTTTGGTTCTTGGCCAACCATAATAAATTTACATAGCTCCTTTCATCCTAAAGTGCTTTTCAAAAGATTACTTGCACACTACACAGATATATATGTATTTCTGTATACATATATATGGATTTTTCTCCCTGCACTACTCCAAAGGGGGAAGGAGCAGAGAGGACAATCTCTGTATCAAGAGCAAGAGAAAAAGCTGCGGAATCCGCACCACAACCTTCCATCCATCCATGCATGCATCCATGCCCTGCTGCGGAGCCAAGCACAGCTCCTGGTCCTCCAACTCCACTTGCCCAGTGCTCTGGCACCATCGTTGTCCCCAACCCAGTAACTATGAGGTAGTGTCTCTGACCTCAGGCCTTGCACATTTAATGAGACCCCAAAGGTTTTTAAAGCCAGGACTGACTAAGCTTTCCACCGATTTAAGCACATTCCAAAATAATATTAGGAGAACCTACAGCCAAACACGTTTAAGCCTGAAGGACAATTACACTCGCCAGAGCAGTCCTCAAGCCCTCCTCGAGCACATCATGCAAAAGGCAGTTACGGATAGAAGTTATAAAACACATGAAATAAGCTGCAGCCCGACCCAGTGAATCAGTGTTCATGGAAATTTCCACAGAGGGCTGGAGTCATCGGTTCCCTTCTTGTTTATCTCCCTGCTTCGGATGGCGAATGGGAGCGGGGACCTTCGGGAACACCCAGCGCCTTCCCGCGCGGAGCGGCCGGTGGCTCCATGCGGGACACAGACCTGGTGGACAAAATGCTCCCTTCAGCTGTGCCAAATGGTGGTAGCTTCCTTATCTATATTCCTTAATGGGCAGCCTTAATACAGACAGCAGGAGTGCTGCAGGCAGAGCCGGCTGGGAATATCAGACCCAGACAAGAACGAGATAACTAACTTGGGTGATGGATGGCTAATTAGTTTGCAAGCAGTGCCATTAATTATTTCCTCTGTCCTTGCCCATGGAGCACCAACATATACAAGTTTGGAAATGGGTGCAATTAGCCTCTGCGGAGATCCTGTCCCCACACTTCCAACTCGGTGCTGCGGATGCAGGAGGTCTGAAGATCCCCAGAAACGACTGTCAAGGGAATAACGACAGTCCATTCATCACTAACAAAGGGCAGGAAAAGCCGCAGCAGAGCAGCCACCAGCAGCGCTCTCGAGTGACACTCGAGCAGGAACATTTTGGCTCCATGAGGGTGCTCCTCAAGACCACTTTTTGGAGATCACTGTTTGACCCCAGGGGAGCATCTGGGAGCAGGCAGGACCTGCAGCACGAGAGAAGAGCCAGGAATCCATAGGAAATGTCCCGCTGCTGCTCTGCAGCTGGGAAGGCCTCCACGTTCTCCTTTTGTTGCAGAAAGAAACAAGGGGCTATTTGGGGCTTTCATGGCATCTGCTGTTGTGCTCGTGCTGCCCAGGCGCCTGTGTGTTACTCGCCAGAGAATCCCTACATCCCATGAGGAACCTGCTGCTTTCACTGCACCCGTGTGCTAGCACATATCACAGCAGCGAAGGAAGCAGGTACTCATCCCAGACTTAAAAAACAAACAGAGAAACACAGCAAATACTGGCGATGGATACCGAAGAGGATGTGAATTCAGGGCACTTGCTCTAGGGTCTTGGTGGATCTCTGCAGACCTCATGGAGAAGCTGGATGGCCAATGGCTACTGCTATGCTGGAAAGTGTAATAGCACTTTCGGGAGGGGAAATGGAGCTCATGCAATTACTTTGTGGACGTGTGCTGAACGGTTACCACTGAAGAGAGCTCCGACCTCAAAGACGTCCCTTCCCGAGCTGGCCAGACTGAGGCCCAGACACTTGGCAGAGCTGCTCTTGGTGGCCCCCAGCCCTTACCTTGTAGAACACGTCGGGCACGTACTGCTCGCTGCTGGACTCCTTGGCGTAGCCCAGCTCCGGGGCGTCCCGGCAGGGCAGCAAACACTCGTCTCGGACCAGCGCCATGCACTGGTTCGACACCTGGTACCCTTCAAAGTGGACCTGGTTGTCGGGACCACCTGGAAGAGAAGAGTCTGGTTGAAAACTCCAGAGGAAACAATGTGCACAGGGTGACTCAGTGACACACTACTCAAGGGACCAAGTTAAACACGACAGTCTTTCCACAGTGGAGAATAATGAGGAATAAACTGCCTGGGTTGCTGCAAAGGAAGTCTTTCTAGACAACAATCCCCATTTAAATTGTACATTTATTTAATCCCCACACTTCTTCAGTACCATTTTCAGTGAGCCTAATGGAAAAGGGGCCTCAGGTGACAGCAAGAGTGTTTTGTCAGGGGTTTAAACGAGCCTGAGTGTCCTTTTGGAGGCCTCTTCTCAGATACCCCCTCTCTTGCAGAACAGAAACCAGGCACGCAGCTCCCACAGGCCTGCTTCATGTCCAAGGCACACGGGCTGCAGATTCAGGGATGTCACCTAACAGCATCAGGGATAAGCAAGAGTGTATTCCTGTCCTGTAATGGCTGGCTGGAAACCGGACCTGGAAAGTGGAAATTAAGAGCCTGGCTCACTGATAGATCACATGCTTGATGCTTTCATTTGGATAATGTAAGCAACATCGGGTCATACGTCATTAGAATACAACTGGAAAGAGAAGATCGGATGCAGACAGATGGTAGGAAAACGTTAGCATTTCCAAACCAGGAATTCATGAAGAGAGAGGAATTAATCCATGCAGGGGATTTCATGACAAAGGTGATGCAAACTATGCAATTATATTTATACTGCACAAAAGGAAGGAATCAAATGTTTAAATAGAAACCTGGTGGGCTGATTTAACAGAAAAGAATGAAATTATCTGGAACGAAAATACGGAAATATTCGTTTTCTACCCTTTGATCTCTAACCTCAATCACTCACTGCTCCAGAACAAACACTCCTAGAAATTAAACATAGACCAAGACACGGGGAAGGCTCGAACAAAGCTAGCCATCATTTTCTCAGTAAAACACCTTGTTATAATTAAAATAAAATAAGGAAAGAGAGATACACATTTATCTTTAATGAAAGATGATGCGTTTAACAGCCTGGAATGTACAAGGCAGCTGTCCGATTACATGAGCCTGTTAACTGAAAGAGACAGTGTTTTTACTGAAAAAGGCTCCAGGAACACTTAACAAAGCCTGGGCTCAGAGGAGGCAATATAATATCACACTTTCGTTTTTTATATTGGATGCGCTTTGGAAGCCATGCTTTTTTTTCATTGTGCTAAACAGACCCAGAACCCAGAATTTCTGCTCCAGGGAAATGTTAAATGAATACATGTGTCATCCCGTGGAGAACAGCAGATTGAACTTCCAACACTACAGCTCCTCCAGCACATGCCAACATCCCTCTGCACAGTCCAGGAGGAACAGACTATTCCATATTGCCCCTGGAGACTTGCTGTGAAAATGGCTAAAAACAGAGGTGACAAAACAAAGCATTTTGCAATTTTGCAGCACTTTTTTTTCCTCCAGACAAACAAAAACGTTTCCATGCACAAAAGGGCAAAGAATCCTACATAAGGGTTTCCCTGACGGCAACACAAGGGAGATAAAGGTCCCTCCTTTATGCTGAACGAGCCAGAGCAACTTTCAGGATCCAGATTGCTGTGGTTCTGCACTGCTGCTTTCAGGCAGCAGCATTTGGAGCTTAAAAAGTCAGAAGAAAAAAACCCAATCAACATCTATTCCCCTGACTACAGACAAACAAACACATTCTGGATGCAGGGGGTGGTGCCACAGGTCAGAGCCTCAATTAAGATTCCTGTCAGGGACATGGTAAATAGTTGTAGAGAGGACAGCACAAGGAGCAGAAATGTATTTTACTTGATAGAACAAGGCTAAACCCTTGTTAAGTAGGACAGATGGAGACTGCAATAGTCTGACTTCTTCTGGGAGAGCTGCTTATTTTACTCTTCTATTAACAAAAGGCAGTTCAGGTATAACCAGAGAGTTAAGGCAAGCCAAGGCCAGTTTATACCTGTAGCCACAACCGTGACAAACTTGGATCCAAAATGACCATCTGGAGAAAGTCGACAGATGTTGGGCTGCTGGTTCTGAAAGTTCCCAGCTGTGATGCACTCTTCTGCACTTAGATAATAAGTGTCCTGAGGGAAGAGCAGAAATGTCAATAAAAAGGACAACATGATGCAGCCTAGACCTATTTCCCTGGTCTGCAGCCAAAGAAAACTACCAACACCCCAGTAAAACAGGCTTTAGTAGAAAGCTGCTGCAACAGCTGAGAAAAGAATGCAACATATCAGCTCTCTGGCCTTGAACGTGCTTTGCTCCAGAAGGAACATCCCACTTCTGGTTTCACCCACCTTTTCACACCCATTTCGTTACAGGGTTTCATTTTCCAAGCAGGGATGTCATTGATTTTAGAATTGCAAGAAGCCGAGAAGGTCAAAGTTTGAGGACCCAAGCCACGTAGCTCACAGAGCCCAGCCCATGCGTTTGGCCTCCAAATGGATCATTTTTACTTGCTGAGCTTGCATCTCACACAGCCACGTTCCCCCCGCTCTGCTAAATCCCCTTAAACCACGAGCACCGAGCACGGGTGAAGGACACAGGCTGGCAGCTCTGCACACTGCAGAAACAGCTACAAACGTCCCGCAGCGCCGCTGAGCTCGAGCTCCTTCTCCTTTAAAAGCTTTTTAAAAACCACATTGCACAAAAATTCCCCTTCCAGCATCACCTCCCATGCTGCGCTGCCCTGGCTCAGAATTCCTCCCTGCAGAGCCCGCGTTTACGTGGCTGCACAAACGGTCAATACCAAGAGCTGTCATTAACCATGCACTTGCATCTCACCTTGTTTCGGCTGTATCGAACCGTCCCTTTCCGCGTGTCTTCCGAGACCAGGTCAGTAAATATCCAGCCAACCTATAGCAAAACGTTAGGAAGAAAGTTACTTAGAAAAGGGGAGGGGAAGGGGGGAATAGAAGGAGCTTATACATCTCCTAGCAGGACAAGATGTTCTTGGCTCTTGGCAGGGCCCTGCTTTAAGCTGCCTGAAGGAAATGGCTCTCCCAGCTGTGCCGGGCTCATTTGAATACAATTTCCAGGAGCAACGTGCCAGCTGGCCGGCTGGGGGCACCTGCAGCTTTATGTCTCACTACGGAACATTTTTTCATGGAAAGATCTGGAGGCTGCAAGAGGCCTCTCAGCCACTGCCTCCTCCCACCCACAGCAAAGAGCGTTTCCTAGCGAGCGTTTAGAGCAAAAGCAGCACCAGGAGTGCCAGGAGATGACAGAACAGCTCACATGATTCCATTTGGAAGCTGGCAGCCACTAGCTGCGATAAAGCTCCGATGTTCCCACTGGAGCGTGATTCATCCCCAGGCAGCCCGCGCCGTTCCAAGGAGCGCATTCCCGCTTCCCGCGCTGTCGCGGTGTTGCTGTTGCGCTGCTGCGCGCGCGGGTGTTGCTGTGCGCGCACACCCCGCTGCGGGAACCTCCTCTGTGCCCCTCGGCACCAGCTCCCGGAGCGTTAACCCACGGCAGCAACAGCTGCTGATTCGGGCCCCCGACAGCTACACGTGGAGTCACTCCGATGAAAAACAGTTTTAAAAGTTTTTTTGTTGTTTGTTTGGTTTTGTAAATAAAAATAATCCAAGGTGAGAAACAAAGGAAAAGCTGGAAAACAATAACACGCACAGAAGCTTTGCTTCAGACACTGGCAAACGGCTGAAGATTTTATCTTCAGAGAACAAAAGATCTCCCCGCAGATGTTTATAGTCTGCTATGCCGAGACTGCTCTGGTTTGGGTTTTCTTTAGCGAGTCAAATCTTGTTTGTGTGCGTCTCATTCCTGGCATTCACGTGATCCCAAAAGACGCCGTTCCCAAACCGGAAGGGATCGGCACCCACTTGAGAGGTGTTGGCAAACACGGGGACGGCGAGCGACATCCCTGTGTCCTCCTGGCATTGCACGGGGACCGCAGGATGGTCCCTCAGCAGCTGCAGCATCTGGACCTCCACCCGGACACTAAACTAAGAATCCAGAACTAAAACCAGAGCCTCTGCTCCCCAGTGCAAAGCAGAGTCAGGGGAAGAACAGGGCAACCTCAGGGTGTATCTGGGCCAAGTCAGTGCTGCCCAGGGAGAGGCTACCAGGAAGGGCTCCCATCTGAGCTGCACTACGTGTTCTTGTGTCTTTGCTGCACCCTTTCGTGTCACTCACGCCACAGGACTGCTGACTTCAGCTGAACAGCCCTGCTGCATGCCCAGCACAGGGAAATGCTCCATTTTGGTTTGTACATTTAAAAGTGCAAGAACCACTGACACTTAAGCTAGATTTCAAATGTGCCCAGACAGCCCTGAATTAACCCCGCAAAGCCGGGCAGAACTGCCCATGATTTTCCTCATTGCCATAAAAAGATGCATGATACCCAACAACATCCTGACCTTTCTCAGTCCAAGCTTTGAAGCAATCTCATCCACCACCTCTGCTTTTGGATCTTCCAGGATCTCCAGGCTGTTCTGTGTACCGATCTGCAGCAAAGAAAAACACGCTAGGAAGACAGAATGGGAAAAAAAAACATAATATACTTTGCCATTGACAGGAGTGAGGCAGAGGATGGAAGCAAAGCCCTGGTTTTCCCCTCCAGCTCCACCGCTGCCTGGTTTCACTCTGGAGACCTCCTTTATCCCTACAGACCGTCCTGCAGTTGTTCTGCTAAGTTTGCAGAACATGTTGGGCTTTATGAATGAAAGACTTGCTCAGCGCTTACAAACAGCCCATTTGCGCTCCTGAGCGCTTTGGAAAACACTGAAGATCGTATCATTTTCCAAAGCTTTGTTCAGCCTGCCAGTTCTGTACTCCTGCTTCATTTCCTTGACTCTTGGAGCAGCGCAGAGGCAGGAATCCAGTGAATCCAAGAGCCCACACCCCGGCCCTCCCGAGTGCTGGAAAAGCGCGCGCTGCCTGCCAGGAAAGCAGAGGCCTCCTGCCTTTTCCCCACGCAACCCGGAGCGCAGGAGCTTCCCGCACAAGCTGCGCACAGGGCACGGCTGTGTGAGCACCCAGAGGGGCTGGAAGGAAGCGCCAAGGCTCCGGGTCTGCTCGCACGGGCGCACGCACACGAGGATCGCGTGGGCCTTTTCCACTCCGGTCTGCTGCGTTTTACTCTCACAACACTGAAAAACTAACTCATCGTGACCCCCCGGTTCCCCACGACCGGCCCGAGGACTCGCGATGCCGCCACCTTTGGAGGGGCGATCCTGGCGAGCCGCTAAGCAGCCAGCAGCAAGCTCGGTTCCAAACCCAGCCCTGCACCGTGCCCAGGGCAGCTTTCCCCATCTCCCAGTTACATTTTAGCTCCCTTCCCAGCTTTTGAATTCCCAGGGTCTTCCCAGGAGCCGGGTTCGCTGGAAGCCCTTGAAGACTTGGCGGCCGCGCGGGAGCATCCGGAGCCGCTGGAGCAGCCGGAGCCGTGTGGTCCTGGCACCATCTAGTGGGGACTGGGGACTCCCGGCCCCTCCGGCACCGATGGATTTCTTCTCTTCCCGCTGAAGTATGGGATCTTATGGGCTGCCCCTTGACCAAGAAAGCAGATTTCCCATCTGTCTAATTAAGCTGCTTTAAGTTTTCCTGGAGAGCAGATCAGAAATTGAAGCAAAGGGAGTTTTTTTTTTTCCCCTAGCACAGAAAAAATTTCAAGCCGTTCCACACCATAGCCTTGGAAATCCAGTAATTCAGGAAACATAAGAATTAAAAATTCATTGTTACAAAGTCTGCCCAGTTTTAAACCGTCTATGCACAGACTAGCATTAAAGGAGATAACCAAAGAATAACCAAAAGCAAACCTGGGTTTAAAACTCTTTCAGTGGCAAAAACTAGTGATACAAACACACACGAATGTGTAATTCACACTGTTTCTCATGGAATTGTTTCCTGCAAGGGTCTGCAGCCAGAAATACTGCATGAAGTTTCCAAACAAAGTTTTTCTGTGTTCCTGGACACCTCTGTGAGCCAAAGCTGCCCAGGGCAGAGAGCTCCTACCTGCGGGGGTTCGTAGATGGCAGCCACCTCCGCGCGGATGCCCAGGGGGATGTCCTTGTGCTCTGTGTACCGGCCGTACAAATATCCCAGATGTTGGTTTCCCGTCTTCCGCCAGAAGTCTAGGAAGCGATCTGCAATTGTGTGGTTCTCAAACATGATGTTGTCAACATGCCTGTATTTCTGTTTGACAAAGTTCAAGCGTCAGGCCATCCTCAACTAGCCCCGTTTGCTTTGCCTATTGCCAGCACCTTCCCCCGAGCCTTCCCAGGACACAGACACATCCCAGAGCCCAGTTCCGTCGGGAACCACGGGGAGAGCCGCCTGCCTGCCCCGCTCTCCCACCCCGCACCGGGGTCAGGAACACCCCAGCGCCTCCCGTTAGCCCGGTGGCTTTCCTAGGGCCCTTAGCCTAGAGCCTTTCCAAGCTGAAAAGATGGTGACATTTCAGGGGAAGCTACAAGAAATGCGGGGTGGCCTTTTTGGATCCCGAGTGGAGAAAGAGGTCAGAAATTCATTTATAGTGCTGCCAGCTCAGATGGCCTCCACGTTAAGAAGAAACTGCTGAACAAGATGCATTTTGGACTCCCATTCTGGAAGGACTAAGGCAGGCCCCAATTTCCCCAGCAACTGCCAAGGTGCAAACGCCTCCTACTCCAAGCTGGCTGCTCTTGAAGCCCTCTTTGGATAAGGAAGAGGCCAGGTCTCCTCCCAGCTTTCAGCACAAAAGCCCCTGCCAGCACCGCTCACCTGTCTATTGAGAGTGATGGCGCTGGGCTGACACTTGGTGCAAATGCCCTCTGGCCAAGGAGGGTGCCCTTCACAGCCTGATTTAATCTTGCAGCTGATGTTTTCCAGGGCAACGAATTTCCCCCTGCCAGAAGGAAAGGAAGAGGTTGTCGTTATCGTGGCAAATGCTTCTGCACCACAGACAGAGCGAATGGCTAGAAATATCGGACAGGAAGCGGGGCACAAAAGACACGTTGACACCAACACTTTGTATTTTCAGAGGATCCCAAAGGGCTCTGCGAGCTCCCCGTGGGGGATACAGGACTCCTGAAACCCCCCTCTGCTGCCCACTTAGCGAGGGAGGCCACGGGGCTGACACGTGCCCCGCAGCCCAGCTCCTCAGCAGACACTCGAGCAAGAGCAGAGACAGATAAAACTCATGGGACCCAGTTTAAATAATTTATGCAGCACATGGGAAGTAATAGATTATATTGCTAGGGCAAATTAGAGCTCCTTTCATCTGCACAAGGCTTCCTGTAAGGGGAAGTTCCCCAAATGAAAGTATTATGGACTTGAGTTTCATCTCACAAAGACATCAGGAAAATCCTGACAGCACTGAATAAGAGGGGGAAGGTTACGCTTCTGCATTACTTATTTAGGTTAGAAACGCAGCGTTTCTGAATGCAGTGGGTTCTCCAGCATCACTAAAGGAGACTTTAAATCCTCCCACAATGGGGCCTCAGCGAGGCATTAGCAGCCGATGGTTATTGAAGAAATAAATACTTGTTTCCGCATTCCCTCTCCGTTCAGCGCTTATCTGTGTCCCCTGTGTCGCCAGTGTCCTGCAGCTCGCTGCAAGGCACAACGCCTTATTTTCCAGCTAGCAAGCCATGAACCAGAGCATCGTGACAAAGAAGATCTTCACTAGCAGCTCACGGAGCAACGGGACAGAAGGGAGGCAGGCCCTAGGGAATGTTAAGCTCATCTTTCCGGCCTATTCATATTCGGAGATAAGAAAAATGGTTTGTGGATGAAAGCCTCCCGCATCCCCCAGTCTCGGATCTCCTTCCCCAGGTTGGAGATCCAGATTCAGAGCTGGGTATAATGAAGGAACCTCTTTCCTTCCATCTGGTCCTCTCTCCCTTTCAGCAGTGTTTCCTGGAAGCAATTATGTCACCACAGCAGAAGACAAGGGGCTCGCTTTGTCTCTCTCCCCCACCCCTTTTCTTATTAAAGTAAAAAAAAGAAAAAAGAAAGTAAAATCCCCCACACTAGTCCAGTGGGGGCTTCTTTTTGTTTGCTTCTTTTGTTTGGTTGTTTCTGAAGCTACAACTAGATTGCCTTAAATATTGAGATTTTCTTACTTGTCTGCCCCTCCGGTCAGCTTCCTGATGTAGGCATGGAAAGACATATGCTTCACAGGAGGTTCCAGATGGTTTAAATAATCCTCATCAAAGGGCTGCCAAAAACACCACACAAAGAAAGGCCAGGTCAGGCACCTGTCTGATAGTACATTGCTCACCAAGCAAATGGATGTTCTAGATTCAACCCCACCGGCTCTCAACGTGGAAACAATCAAGAAACGCTCTCTTTCAAGGCAGCTACTACTGTGACAGAAGCAGTGGGACTTTACAACACTGAGTTTTATTATCGCCTCCTACTTTTGTAACAGATTGGCTCCACAAATCACAATGAGCCTCAAAGGCAAAATGCATTTTTTCCTTTCAATATCTAACAACAAACAAAAAGCCCAGCTGCTCAAACAAGGCCAAAGAGCTTCCAGAGCCCACGGCAGGGAAGCGGGGGAAGAGCCAGCCTGGCTCGCACTGACTTCTCAGGGTTCACTGCTACTTGCCATAAATCACACAGCTTAGTACATTTGTAGGCGTCACTAAAGCTGCCTTCAACCTGAATAAAACGTGGTTAATCCGAGAAGCGCTGGGATGACACAATGCAGGACAGCGATCCAGGCAAGAGGGAGGAAAATTAGAGCTCTTGTAAAGCACTCTTGTGCTGTGTTTTTCTGCAGTAATGGGTTTAACAGAGAGTAAACCCAGGGCCCAGAGGCCTCGGCCTCAGGCTGGGGTTTGGCTCTCCCGGGTGCAAGCAGCAGGTTTGCTGGTGCAGGGCAGGATGGGGAGGCAGAGCTGCTCCTGTGTGCGAGCAGGGCTGGCAGGAGGAGTGCTGGGGCTGGAGGAAGGCCAGGGCCAGGCCCTGGCGCGGGGCTCTTACCTCCAGCGGGACGCAGTGCACGCATTTACCGAGCGGGCCGTGGCGGCACCTGCGCAGAGAGAAGCACAGTCAGCACAAGCACCGTCAGCACGGGTCTCACCACGGGGGAAAGCTGGCCCGGAGCGAGCGTCCAGCCTCCCTTCCCGGGAAGGTCTATATGGACACACGGCCCTGGGCACGTCGTGGGTGCTACACTGGGGCACTGCAAAGCACTGCACAAAGAGCAAGAGCCTGGGCTTGAATGTGGGAGCCCAAGGTCAAGATCAAACACGCCCGTGTCGCTGGCGAGCGGTTCGGCTCTCCCCACACGCGGCAGGTCACAGCTCCTCGGGTTTTACAGCCCTGCGCTGAGGGCGCTTCGATTCAAAGGATCTCAAAGATACGTCACGGGCTGCAACAAAAAGGCAACCAAAACATTCAGCCTTTATCAGGCACCAGGGGATGGTCTGGAGCAAACAGGGAAGCATGTGTTTATCTGGGAGATAAAGACCGGCTGGGTAAAGTTACAAAAAGGAGGGAAAAAACATCTCCCCTGGAGGTGATGGCTTAATAAAAACACTCCCTCCTCCTTCTCCTGCCCCCCCCCAAAAAAAAGAAAAAAAAATAAGGCCAAAAGGCAAAAAAGCAAACTCTGCCCCAGCACCAGGAACAGGTCTGTGCTTGTTTTCCAAAAGCAGCCTCCAGAGATGAGCAAGGCTGGCTGCTCTTGTAAGGGAAAAAAACAAAAACAAAGAAGTCTGGGTTCGAGTTGCAGCACTGCTTTTAACGAGGGATTGTGGCAGATAATGTACGTAAAGGGCCCCTAAAGGCTGCTAATGCACTCAGCACAATGCCAGCATCCCATCATGTTTAGATTGATTTGCACTCACAAATACAGGAACAAGCCCAGACATACAGTTTTTATCGTAAATATCCGCCGCTGCATTTGGCTCCCTGCTAAGAACAATACCTTCATTTATTCTTTTGAAAAATGTGGTCAAGTTAAAGACAATGTTTTTGCCACCGAGTGGTGGGTTTTGCCTTTATTGTTTCAATAATGTGACACTTCCCTCATTCATCATCAGCCTGAAAAGGTCAGATAGGATTTTTCACGTAAAGGCTGCGTCTCTCCGAACTTCCTTGTTGCTGCAGCTGGAGATAAACCACGTGGAAGACAAGACAACACAAAGGGGCAGGGCAAGACACTGTTTTAGAAAGAATTCCTGGTTGCCTTTAAAATTTTCCCTCAGCCACTTTTGGAGGTTGGTCTGTAAAGGGGTTTAGCCTGAAGCTAACGACCAGCTGCGATATCGGGCCAGGAGCCAGCGGGGACATTGTTAATGATGAGCAACAAAACCAGCCCCACAGAGGTCATTTTAGTGGCACGGGTGCTGATTTATGGTGCTGTTATGTTACCGGTGTAGTGTGACTTCTACAAAAATGCAAACTACTTTGTTTATCTAAGCCGCTCGCAGCTAGGAGCTTTGGCAAAGTTGAACTCTGCTGCGTTTCCTGTGAGCAAAATGGACTGCCAGGTTTCCATCAAAAGGTTAAGAAAGGCACACGATGGAAGGGAAGCAAGAAAACAGGTAGGCAGAGACCCAAGGGCTAGTTCCATGTCTCTGCCATCGGTACTGTTTCCAACAATTCTTCCCACATGTTCGTTTTTCCTTTGAAAAAAGGGACTTTTTTTAAAAAAATGAGACCATACAGAGCAGAAGCTACTGCAGACAGCAGGCCCTTGCTTACTAAGCAACAACCCACAGCACAATCCAGCATTTTGCAGCACCAGCTGCCAGGATATCCCAGAGAAGAATACTTTGAACTCATTTTCATCTAGAGAGCTCCAGGTATTTTAGGAGCACAAAATATACGCTCACGAGTCCCACTGCTCAGGCCACCTTTATCTAAACAATAGATGCTCTGAACGACTCCTTCCTGGCAAAAGCCCTGGAATTTTGGTATCTGCTTCCTTCCTTGGCTCACCAGACCCCCGTTTAGCCTTGCAGGACAATGGCAAGGGCTGTTTTCCCTTGTGAACGTTTCAAAGGCAGCCCGGGATAAAGCAGCGGCCCAGAGGGCAGTTCCCATAACGTGTTTCCTGGCCCCTGGCTTCAAGCAAAGGCATTTCGGTCTCGGCAGATGTGCGGCGCATCGGTACTTACAGCTGCTGGTCTCGGTTCCGGTAAATCTTGCCGTCCTGCTTGATCAGATACTGGTCGATCTCATCTTCCACCACCTGGGGGGCCCCCGCGGGCCGCAGGCTTTGGGAGCCAGAGGTGTCCATGGTCTCTGAGGAGGAGCCCGCGGGGCTCGAGGGGTACAGGAACAGCATGTCGCCGTGCCTGCGGGCCGGAGAACAGCACGCTGTCGCCCTCAGAGGGTAACTCCAGGCAGGGGGCAAAGCCTGGAACGTGACCCAGGATACAGCCGGAGGGGCCGACGGGGCTCCGAGCTACAGCCGGAGGGGCCGACGGGGCTCACGGGAGCCTCAGCGCCAGCAGCCGCTGCTGCTCGGGGCCTTTCCATTACAAGGGTGCAAGGTT